TGGCCAACGCGCAGACGTACAACCAGAACCTCATCAATCACGTCGGCAAGGGCACGCCATCTAGGCCCCAGCCGCTGGAGACCTACGTATTCGCCATGTTCAATGAGAACCGCAAGACGGGGGCTGAAACGGAGAAGCACTTTGGGTTGTTCAATCCGGACAAGTCGCCAGTGTACCCTATTAGATTCTGAATGTTTCATGTCTGAAAAGAGTGACGATTCCAATAAATTAATGCTAATGCTCTCATCATCGACTTAATTATTAAGTGAATGTTACAAACTCCTTGAAATAGTACTCCCTCCATAAAAAAATATAAGAGCGTTTAGATCACTAATCTTTACAGAGGGAGTACAATGTAACCCCTCCGTTTTTATTTACTTCACGTATTAACTTTGTCTCGAGTCAAACTTAACCTTTGACCAAGTTTATATAAAAAATTATTAACATCCACAATACCAAATCAATACCATTAGAATCGACATTCATATATTTTCGTACCATATATTTCTTATTGTGCAAATTTAGATAGTTTTTGATAAACTTGGTCAAATTTTATAAAATTTGACTTAGATCAAAGCTAATACGGGGAGTACTCCTCCGATCCCAGGCGCGTATAACTTTTTGCCAAAATATCCGCAATAGTCCGCGCATTCAGATCTTTAGCATATTCTTTGGGGTGGACTCGGCATTCTATAGTTTTCTCTTGTTTTCTCGGCTATTGATTTTTCTGGTTTTCAGCTTCTTCTTTTTTGTTTTTCCTTTTCCCTTTTATTTGTTATTTCTATTTATTTTCTTCTAAAAACCAGGATTTTTTAAATGTGTAAACTCTTTAACTCTTTCTAATAATTTTTAATTTCCTGAACAATATATATATATTGTTTGAACTCTTATTAAAATTTATGTGGAGACAAGCATGCGGCATGCGGATCTCATAGTAAATAGTCCCTTCTTGTTATATTTCCAAGCCCAACAATTAAAAATATTTCATGTGAACAAACGATGTAAGCGGAGGCATGAGGCAATTGCAATAGAAATTATTTGGACCGAGGAATGGGCCTGAGGCAACTTTGCTTAGATCACAAGCTCCCAACTAGCCACTAAGATGGAAGAGCTCGGTTGACCAATGTACAGCAGAACAACCTTTACAATTTTCCAAATTTCAAATGAATATTTGAACGTACGATTTTGTTTTGACAAAAGCAAACAATTTTATTATATCATGAAAGAATTTTGTATTTCCCAAATGTTTTTCAAAAACATGAACATTTTAAGAATTTGTGAACAATTTTCTAAAGCACGAACATATTTTTAAAATTTTAGAACAAATTTTGAAACAGAGAACAATTTCGAAAAGACTAAAAAATTTAGAAGCACAAAACTTTTTGAATTAATGAACAAAAAATTGAAATCCGGAGCTTTTTTGAAATCTTTGAACTATTTTATAAAACGTGAACATTTTTTACAAAAAGTGCAATCTTTTATTTGAAAAAGTCCTAGCATTTGATGGAAAGGTAAACAAATTTCGAATATTTGAAACATCTTTTAACTTTGCATTTTGAACTTTTCTGCAAAAATGCGAACATTTTTTAAATTTTGAGAACAATGTTTGAAACATCTGAACAATTTTTGGAAACGCGACAAATTTTGTATGAGAAAAGCAGGACAAAAGAAAAATAAATAGGGAAAGAAAAAGGAAAACAGGAAAAAACAAAGAAAAAGAAGATAAGGAAACAGAACAAGAAAAAGAAAAAAGAAAAAAACAAGACAAAAAGGAGAAAAAACAGAACTAGGAAAAAACCATTTTTGGAACGTTATAAACGTTTCCCAAAAACAAAAAAAAAAACAGCTGGAAACCTCCAGAAGGTTCCCGACACAAGGGACGTTGAAATGCTTAAACGGGCCGGCCCAGTCCAGCGATTGCTCGATCTCCCCAGTGCGAAACCTCGATAGCTTGACGCAGCGTGCGTCCAACAGAAATTCCAATGATATGTATCCGAAATAACCAATTGAGGAGTATTCATTGCAAAGATCACTCCCACCTTTCTAGGTTGCGACAGGTGACGCACTGCATGTGCGCCACTTGTCGCCACCTGGGAGTTTTTTCTTTTTTCGTAGATTCGTTTATTCAAAACGTTTTATCTGTCAAACCGTGCGTCCAAATCTGAAACCGTTTTCACCGTTGGATTCCTCGCGTCGAGATTTTCAAACTAGATACCATGTTGATAGGTTTTGACGAACGTTTCTCACAAAAAAATCAGACGGAAAAACCAAACTGGGAGCACCGATTTTTTTCTCTTTTCGAAAGAGGAACGCCCGTGCCTCTTGCGGAAGCAAAATCGTGCCTCTCACGGAAGGAAGAAAAAGAAAAGAAAATGCGTTTTTTTCGTTTCCGAGGAGGTACGACCATGCCTGTCGCAAAAGCACAATCATGTCTCTCGCGGAAGCAAAACTGTGCCTCTGCGAAAGTAAAGAAAACAAAAAACGTGTTTTTTCCGTTCCCGAGAGGCACAACCGTGCCTCTCGCGAAAGCACAACAGTGCCTGTCACTGAAGCAAAATCGTGCCTCTCTTGAAAGGAAAAAACAAAAACATATTTTTTTCGTTTCCGAGAGGCACGACCGTGCCTCTCGTGAAAGCACAATCGTGTCTCTCGCGGAAGCAAAATCGTGCATCTCGCGAAAGAAAAAAAAACAGAAAACGTATTTTTTCATTTTCGAGAGGCACGACCGTGACTCTCGCGAAAGCAAAATCATGCCACTCTCGAAAGGAAAAAAACATAAAACGCGTTTTTCGGTTCCGAGAGGCACAACCGCATCTCGCGGAAGAAAAAAAAAGAAAATGCATTTTTTCGTTTCCAAGAGGCACGGCCGTGACTCTTGCAAAAAAAATGAAAGCACGTATTTTCATGCAAAAAAATCAACTTGTTTTTATCCAAAAGCTAAGGAAGACCGGTGGAAAACCGAAATGTCAAAAAAAAACCAAAAAAAACGTATAAAAAGCAAAAAACAAGTGCGGAAAAATAAAAAACCCGGAGGAAGCATCTAGAGCGCGACACATGGCGGGCGGTGAGAGCACGCCAAGTGGCACTGCTTGTCGTGAGGCTCTCGAAAAAGCGCTCGTCAACTAGTTGCTCCCATATGTATCGCTTAGAGCGATATTTATCAGTTGCGATCGCTCCAAGCGCATGAATATGGGTCGGCCCATTAGGAACCGAGCGCTCGGGAGTTAAGTGCATAACGGTTTTGTGAATGTTCCGAACTGGTTTGGGAAGTTCCTTTTTTTTGTTTCAATTTATTTCTTTTGATTTTGGCTTTCCACCGGTTTGTAAGGTTCTATTTTTCTATTTATTATTTTTATGTTATCTCCTTCATTTTCCATCCTTTCTAAATTAATAATCTCTTTTGAAAGGGCATTGTCAAGATCGGTGCACATTTTTTAAAACTTAAGGGCATTTTCCAAATTAGGGTACATTTAAAAAGTCACAAACATTTCCCCAATTTTTAACTTTATTTCAAATTCAAGAAAAATTGAAATTTGTGAAGATTTTAGAGTTCATGAATAGTTTGTAAAATTCATGAAGAATTTAGAAACTACATGAAACTTTTTTGAATTCTACAACATTTTAACATACATGAATATATTTTCTAAAATTCATGAGTTTATTAAAAAACTTATGTATTGTTCCTAAAATTCATGAACTTTTTCAAAATACGTGAATGTTTTCTTAATTCAGGAAAACTGTTTTTAAATATTCATGTGTATTTTCAAATTTAATTTAAACCAAATAACTCTCTCTAGAATGAAGTGAAAAAATCCATAAAAAATAAGTGTAAGCTCGCGCCTGTGCTAGCTCTCTAGTGTCTGGCGTCTACTACGGTTGGTGGGCAAGGCCCATTTAAGCAAGGCGCGTCAGCGATCGTATGCTTTAGAGCGCCACGTAGAGCCCGTAAAATTCCGTCTCCGCACTCGGGCCGCTGTAAATGTCGGAAGGGGAAAGGGCCGCGCCATGTGCTGCTCGTCGTGGGCGTGGCGTGGTCTCCTCCGTTTCCCTCTTCCATGGTCCATTAATTAACTTCAACTACTACTCTCTCCTTTTTAGTTTATAGGCCTCAATTCAAAAATCTCACCAGCCAACATATGTAGATGATGAATTCCCAAGAGTCCACATCGATGGAAAGGTTTTATGGAATAATTTTTATTGTTCGCAGAAGTACTCAATTAATGTGCCCGTTTTTCTAAAAAAAATGTGTTCACCAAGGGTGACCAATAAATAACCAAAAAAAATTACATGCATTGGTTAGTTTTAGTTTAATCCCCGCATACAGTGATTTAATTCACCTTTATATCTGAGCATGTGATGAGGAGTTATAGAAATGAGAGTTATAAAAACAAAAATTTTGAGATAAGTCCTATGAGTAGTACCGTAGCTATCCACGCAAAGAGTGATAGTGGAACCAATTAATCAAGGGCGTTCAAGGCGGTTCGGTTTAAGGGGGTGTTTGGTTCAGGGACTTTTTAGTCCCAGAGACTAAAAAAAGTACCTAAAAAGTTCCTAGGAACCAAAGGGAGGGACTTTTTTTACAGGGACTAGAAAAAGACTCTACTGGAGAGTCTTTTTTGATTAGTCCCTGGGACTAGAAAAAGTCCTAGGACTTCTGAATCAAACATCCCCAAGATCGTAAGAACCGTGGATCATCTTGCTCACCCAGTTAAATTAAATCGCGAAGGGCTCGAACCGCTTGTTCACCGCCGGGTTCCAGTGCAGCGTTACTGGGTAGCATTAAGTGGAACCAAGTTGGAGATGAGAAAGTCAGAATGCCTGGCTATCCACCCCCGCCTGAAATCCTGTATAAATAGCGGCCGGCGCCCGGTTGCCTGCACACCACAGCTTGCAACGGGAGCTAGCTAGGGCTACACTACACAGCGTACAGCTTTGAGTACATGAGCTGTGCAGTGCTCCCTGCAGCCCGTAGCTAGCTACCTCAAGTAAGCTGGTCGACGATGGAACTGCAGCGCGCTGCCTCCGTGCTCGCCACCGCGCTGGTGCTTACATCCATACTTGCTGGTAAAGTGATAACAGTATGAACCATGCAAGCATGCTACGTAAAATACTTGTCGAGTCCACCGAGTAGTATTGATTCTCTGACTAATTATGAGGTTGTGCTTTTCACGATCGGTTTGATCGCACGCCGCAGGCCGGGTGCAGTCCGTGGGCGTGTGCTACGGTGTGCACGGCGACCGCCTGCCGAAGCCGGCCGAGGTCGTGCAGCTCTACAAGTCCAACGGCATCACCGCCATCGGCCTCTACGAGCCGGACGTCCAGACGCTCCTGGCCCTCAACGGGAGCAACATCGGCGTCCTCATCGACATGGCCGACGCGAACGTGCCCCGCCTCGCCTCCGGCGCCGCCCAGGCGGACCTCTGGGTCCAGCTCAACATCAAGCGCTACTACCCGGGCGTCTCCTTCCGGTACATCGCCGTCGGCAACGAGCTCGCCGGCGCCGCCACGCAGAGCATCCTCCCGGCCATCAAGAACCTCAACGCCGCGCTCGCCAAGGCCGGCATCAAGGTGTCAACGGCCGTCAAGATGGACGTGCTCGCCACCTCTTCGCCGCCCTCCTCCGCCGTCTTCAAGGACGACTACATGAAGCAGATCGTGGCGCTCCTCGGCGCCACCGGCGCGCCGCTGCTGGTCAACGTCGCTGAAATTTGAGATGGGTCTTAAGTCTATATAGCAATTTTTTGAAAAATCTCTAAGGGTCCATGCGGGTTATTGGCACTAGATGGAGATGAAAGTTTAGTCCCACCCCAGAAGTGGAAGAGGAGTTAGACCTCCTTATAAGGGTGGTTCTTCTACATGCTATTGGAGCTTGAAAAAAGAAGAGGCCCTCGCGCGCTCCTCGTCCGCCCACCTCGACGCTGGGCCACGATCTGAGTCGTCGGATCGTGGGCTGTCACGGACTCGGACGTGGGTCGAGCCCACGTCTCTCCACGCGGCTACACATATATAAGTGTGTGGTGTCTCCTAACCCGCCGCCACGATCACGAAACCCCGTCTCTCCGGACGAATAGGTTTTTGGGAAGCGACTACGCGGCTACTCGCCTCCGATCCACTACTTCCTCTACGTCCGCGTCGTCTCCGTCATCACCATGTCCAGCGACGCCGAACGTGGCGCCGCCGAGAAGACCGAGGCCGACAAGAAGGCCGCCGAGGACGCTGCTGTTGCCAGCGTCGCGGCGGCTTCTGCATGGCCTACTGGAGGGTATAACGTGTTTATCCCTCTCCTGATTATTTCTATATTAGCAGTACTAGCATCATGTGTAGATTTGTCTATTGTTTTTGTAGTATGTGCTTGTTTAGACCAGTACCAGTATGCTGTTAATTCTGTCAATGCCATGCTAGTCATCTACTTATGGGTTAAACTAGTCGAAAATTTTCCTATTTACTTAGCAATCCAAAAACCTATTTTGTGTAGGAATTTTTTGGCCAGTGGCTTTGCCGCAGCACTGAAATCGGATAAATTTACCGGTACGTATTTTAAGCGTTGGCAGACAAAGACCACTTTATGGCTCACAGCTATGAACGTGTTTTGGGTCACCGGTGTGTCCACAGGAATGATTGCTCCTGAACAGGAGAAGGCGTTCAGGGAAGCAACCACTGTGTTTCTCTGAGCAGCTCTCAGCATGATCGGAGATAAAACTGGTCGACGCATATTTACATGTGCATGTAGCCAAGGACTTGTGGGAGGCGCTCGAATCTAAGTTCGGGGCCGCCGATGCAGGGAGCGAGATGTATACTATAGAGCAGTTCCACGATTACAAGATGGTTGAGAACCGTCCTGTACTGGAGCAGGCTCATGAGATAATATGCATTGTTAAGGAGCTTGAGCTTCTGAAGTGCGAGTTACCGGGCAAGTTTGTCGCGAGCTGCATAATCGCTAAGCTCCCTAATTCCCGGAGGAACTTTGCCACCACTCTAAAACATCAGAGGCGTGAATTCTCTGTGGAGGATGTCATTAGCCATCTGAATGTTGAGCAGAATTCGAGGGCAAAGGACTCGCACGGAAAATGGGCCGAAGGGACTTCTGTTGCCAACATGGTGAACCAGAGGAACTTCAAATCCCACAAGCCCAAGAGAAAGAACGGTGTCCAACAGAATACCGATTTCAAGAAGAAGGGTAAGAAGACCTTCAAGAAGAACAAGAAGGATGAGGGTTGCTTTACTTGTGGTTTGGTTAAACATTGGGCCAACAAGTGCCCAAACAAGTTTAAGAAGTCAGGACAGGACTCCAAGCCCGTCAACATATGATTGTGGGCAACAATGATAATGGTGCATCTGGGTACGGTAATTTATTTACTATTTTTTCAGTGTTTCAGCCTACCGATTGGTGGGTGGATACAGGTGCAGGTGTTCATGTGTGTGCTGACATTACATTGTTCTCTTCTTCCCAGGTGACAGGCCATGGGTCTGTATTGATGGGGAATGGCGTGAGTGCTTCTGTTCATGGTGTTGGCACGGTCGATCTGAAGTTTACTTCGGGAAGGATCGTGCAGCTGAAGAACGTGCAACATGTCCCCGCCATCAAGAAGAACCTCGTTAGTGGCTCCCTTCTATGTAGAGATGGGTTTAAATTGGTATTCGAGTCTAATAAATTAGTTGTTACTAAGTACAGACTATTTGTTGGAAAAGGTTATGAGATCGGAGGGACGTTCCGCCTTTCCCTCGCAGATTTCAGTAATAAAGTCATGAACCATATTCATTGAGTGTTAATGAATCTGAAGTTTGGCATTCACGTCTTTGTCACATAAGTTTCGGTGTTATGACGCGGCTAGCTAAGTTGGATTTAATCCCGAGTTTCACTTTAGCCAAAGGTTCTAAGTGCCTTTCATGTGTGCAAGCTAAGAAACCTCGCCAGCCTCACAAGGCTGCGGAGGAGAGACACTTGGCACCATTAAAACTCATACATTCTGATCTTTGTGAGATGAATGACGTGTTGACTAAAGGTGGAAAGAAATACTTCATGACATTGATAGATGATTCCACTAGATATTGCTATGTATATCTGTAAATACTAAAGATGAGGCTCTACACTACTTTAAAATCTATAAGGCAGAAGTTGAGAATCAACTTGAAAAGAAAATTAACGAGTCTGGTCAGATCATGGTGGAGAGTACTTCTCGAGTGAGTTTGATTACTTTTGTATGGAACATGGAATTATTAATGAGAGGACGCCTCCCTATTCTCCCCAGTCAAACGGGGTTGCCGAGTGGAAAAATCGTACTCTGACTGATCTGGTTAACGCCATGTTAGGTACATCGGGTTTATCCAAGGCATGGTGGGGGGGGGGAGTCTATATTGACGGCATGTCATGTCCTGAATAACGTTTCGACAAACGATAATGAGATCACTTCCTATGAGAAATGGGCAAAGAGAAGGACAACACTCTCGTACTTGCGTACTTGGGGCTGTTTGGCGAAAGTTAACATGCCGATCCCCAAAAAGCATAAGCTTGGACCCAAGACTGTGGACTGCGTTAACTTAGGCTACGCTAAGAACAACGTTGGCTATAGATTTCTAGTAGTGAAATTTGAGGTACCTGACCAGAAGATCGGTACAATTATGGAGTCTAAGGATGCTACATTCTTCGAGGATATTTTTCCTATGAGAGATATGCAAAGCACTTCTAGACAGGAATCTGAGGAGACACCTGAGCGTGCCATTCCTATGGAATATTATGAATGAACACATGATGAAAATCCTAAGGAGGATGAGGAGGAAACCCTTGGTAGGGGCAAGAGACAAAGGACTGCAAAGACCTTTGGTGATGATTTCTTTGTGTACCTTGTGGATGATACTCCCACTTCTATTTCAGAAGCGTATGCCTCTCCAGAAGCTGACTACTGGAAGGATGCGGTCCATAGCGAGATGGATTCCATCATGGCTAACGGGACATGGGAGATCACTGAGCGTCCCTATGGTTGAAAACCATTGGGATGTAAGCGGGTTTTCAAGAAGAAGCTTAGGCCCGATGGTACGATTGAAAAGTACATGGCTAGGCTTGTGGCCAAGGGCTATGACCAGAAAGAAGATGAAGATTTCTTCGATACTTATTCACGTGTGGCTAGACTGACCACCATTTGAGTATTACTCTCGTTGGCGGCCTCGCACGATCTTCTCATCCACCAGATGGATGTTAAGACGGCTTTTCTGAATGGAGAGCTAAACGAGGAAATCAACATGCAACAGCCAGATGGCTTTGTGATAGATGGTCAGGAAAGAAAAGTGTGTAGGTTGCTGAAATCTTTATATGGCCTGAAGCAAGCACCTAAGCAATGGCATGATAAGTTTAATACAACTCTGACATCTGTTGGCTTTGTTGTTAATGAAGCTGACAAATGTATATACTATCGCCATGGTGGGGGCAAAGGAGTCATATTGTGCTTGTATGTTGATGACATACTGATATTCGGAACCAACCTCAAAGATATTGAGGAGGTCAAGTCGTTTCTGTCTCAGAACTTTGAGATGGAGGACCTTGGTGTGGCTGATGTTATCTTGAACATCAAGCTACTGAGAGATAATGAGGGTGGGATCACACTTCTGCAATCTGATAACCCACAAGTATAGGGGATCAATCGTAGCCTCTTTCGTAAGTAAGATTGTCGAACCGAACGAGGAGCTAAAGGTAGAACAAATACTCCCTCAAGTTCTATCGACCACCGATACAACTCTACGCATGCTTAGCGTTCGCTTTACCTAAAACAAGTATGAAACTAGAAGGACTTTGTAGGTGTTGTTTGATAGGTTTGCAAGAATATAAAGAGCACGTAAATAAAAAGTAGGGGCTGTTTATATAGAGAAGCAACAAAGTAAATATAGCGAGTGTGGAAAAGTGGTGGTAGGAGTTGTGAAATTGTCCCTAAGCATTTGACTACTTTACTAGACCGATAGCAAGTTTTATGTGGGAGAGGCATAAGCTAACATACTTTCTCTTCCTGGATCATATGCACTTATGATTGGAACTCTAGCAAGCATCCGCAACTTCTAATGATCATTAAGGTAAAATCCAACCATATCATTAAAGCATCAAGTCCCCTTTATCCCATACGCCACAACCCCCTTACTCGGGTTTATGCTTCTGTCACTCAAGCAAGCCACTATAAGCGAATCGTGAACGTATTGCAACACCCTACAACGGGAATCCCTCATGCTTGCACGACATGGAGGGCACAATAGGACAGCAACATAACCACAAGCAAATTAAACTAATCATAGCAATTCACCAATTACCGATAGGAGAACGAAAATCTACTCAGACATCATAGGATGGCAACACATCATTGGATAATAATATGAAGCATAAAGCAGCATATTCAAGTAGAGGGTACATCGGGCTGCGGGAGAGTGAACCGCTGAATATAGATGGGGGGAGGTGATGGAGATGTTGGTGAAGATGACGGCGGTGTTGGTGTAGATCGCAGTGATGATGATGGCCCCCGACGGTGTTCCGGCGCCACCGGAAGCAAGGGGGAGAGAGCCCCCCTTCTTCTTCTTCCTTGATCTTCTCCCTAGATGGGAGAAGGGTTTCCCCTCTGGTCCATGGTCTCCATGGCGTGGGAGGGGTGAGAGCCCCTTCGAGATTGGATCTGTCTCTCTGTCCCTCTCTGTTTCTGCGTTCTCCGATTTTGCCCTTTCACCGTTTCTTATATATC